GCACCCGCCTCTGCCCTGGTCGGAAAACGGTCGCCCTGCTTGTTTTCGCTTCTACGATTAAACCTACTCAATTTCTGCCGAGCGATCCTCGACGTCATGCGTTGAGTTCTTGCTCTCGTACCACGTCCTCTTGACGGCCAGACACTCTCGCTCAGTCTCAGCCCCTTGGGCCTGTCTGATCCCCTGTAGAGACATGCAGCAGAACCACGCGTCGCCCCGACCCACTTCGCTCATGCCAGGAGCTCCTCCGGCACCAGGAGGACAGTTCATTTGTCAGGGATGGCTGCTGAAGAAGAGGAGGAAGAAGATGCAGGGTGCGTTTTGACTACTTTCTTACGGCCGCTAAAACCTGTCCTGACTGACACCGTCCGGAGCACCTCAGGGTTCGCTCGCCGCTATTTCCAGCTGCAGCAGTCGGGATGGCTCTCGTACTCCTTCGAACCTGGCCAGCTGAGTCGTGACCAAATCTTCCTCCCACAAGCAGCGATCTCTAGCACCCCCGGTCGGAGAGACATACACATAGATTGCGCCACCGCGACATTTCACGTCAAATGCCTCAGCGCGGAAGATTTTAATATGTGGATGACTGCGTTCCGGTGAGTCTTCGTACAAGTTGTCAGACGCACACAATTCAGACGCGTTCAAGCAAATTCCTTGCGCGCGAATCTCCACCCATGGGTGCGTCCTCTCTAGGCAGAAGGTCTACGGTAAGATCCACGCTACGGGCCGGGCAGTACAATCGGTTTGGTGGTCTAGTGGAAGAGATGGGCATTGTACGGATTGCCATAGCCTATGACGCACAATGCACACTGAGACCTTTCCTAGACAATCAATGAGCTGCAGAATGCAGTCACTGCATGGCAGGATAATGCTGGTCAACAGAGGGGTAGCATACAACGTTCGAAGTCTGAGAAGGATAAGAAAGATCGCGCCAAGGAGCACGGAGGGCATGTATTGGGGATTTTCAAGAAAGGTGCGCTGTTCTCATATTCATGTTTGGCTACAATACCATACGTCACATCGAGCACTGACCATGTTTATGGCATAGCTGCGCCCCATGCTCACAACCAGCATGCGCCGGATCCCGGAGCCAAAGTACAGCCTTCCGATACTCCTTCACCTGCAGACCCTTCATTTCAACGCGTCCAGGCGATTCTAGATGCGCTTCGACACCAACAAGCCGCACTGGCCAAGTTGGCATTATCCTACTCCCCTGTCGATACCAACCCTCATTCCGCGCATGGATCCCACCTCTCGAGAACGACAGAGGAAGATGGAGAACGCACGCCCATTCCTACCGCTTCGCGAAACTTCCGGAGATTCTCTACGACGAGCGACCAGAGTGGTGGCAGTGGTAGTGGCAGTGTGTGGTTCGATGCTCCTGAGGGGGATGGGGCTGAGGAGTTCGTGGTAGAGGCGACGCCGGGTGAAGAGCACAAGGAAAGCGAGGTATTTGGTGAAGGTCGTTACAAGAGCCCTCAACCAGATCCAGCTTCCAGTACAGAGATAGACGATACGGATACGGATGCCGACACAGATTCTGAAGAGACATCCGAAGTCGAACCGGCCGAAACCGCTTCCACAAGCCCTGAACTCCCCAACCAAGATGATGAGAAGCCAGTCGTGCGTCGAACTCAGTTGCCATCAGGTCCTGTAGGAGACGAGGGAAGCCTATTCGCGGTTCTGAAGAAAAATGTCGGAAAAGTATGCTCAGCCAGAGTTGTGCTTGTCATTAATTCTAACAGCCTTTAGGATTTGTCGCAGGTTGCCATGCCGGTGACATTCAATGAGCCACTCACCCTCCTGCAAAAGGTGGCCGAAGAATTAGAGTATCATGACCTTCTCTCTCAGGCAGCGCATTCTGACAACCCCGTGGAACGTATGTGCTATATAGCTGCCTTCGCGGTATCAACATATGCGAATACGAAGCACAGAACAGGTCGGAAAGGATTGTGCGTCGAACTGAGGAACATTGTCCTTATGCGCGTACTGACAATTTTCATCCCTTAGCAATCCCATGCTAGCCGAAACTTTCGAAGATCCAAGAATGCGGTTTATTGCGGAGAAAGTATCGCATAATCCAGTCATTCTGGCATATCATGCAGAGGGGGATGGTTGGAAGCTATGGGCAACCTCAAGTGGGAAAACCAAATTTTGGGGTATTTAGTGTTCTCCACCTCGTCAAAACCTATTCTGAAACTATTCGCACAGGTAAGAGCCTTGAAATTATCCCCCAAGGAACTACTCATTTGCAGATCGGAGAGGAGTATTACCAGTGGTAGGTGACTGATGATGTCAATGGTGTGAACAAAGGCTCACACTCGACCTTAGGAAACGTCCATCATCCTTTATGAGAAACCTCATGATGGGTACCAAGTACCTTGAACACTGTGGCAAGATGGTCATCGAGAATACGACGACAGGTGCCCGCTGTAATCTGGACTTCAAAGAGGGCGGTTATTGGGGCCCGACCAACATGGTTTCTGGGTCGATACTCTCCTCATCTGGTAATATCGAAGCAGATCTTGAGGGAAAGTGGGACGAACAGATGTCTCTGAAGCTAGACTCCTCACATTTGCGAGTGTTATGGAGAATGACACCTTTCTCGAAGAATGCACTCGACTACTATGGTTTCACCTCATTTGGCATCACGTTGAATGAAATCACTTCGGATTTACAGAGCCGACTACCGCCCACAGACTCTCGTCTACGGACAGACGTGAGGGCACTGGAAGAGGGGGACCTAGATCTTGCAGAGGATGAGAAGAAACGGATAGAAGAGATGCAGCGAGATAGACGACGGCGTGGTGCGGACCGCCAGCCACGATGGTTTAAACAATCTGGTGACGAATGGGTCTATGCTGGAGGTTACTGGGAGCAGCGAGCGAGGGGTTGGAAGGACGTTGAACCCTTATGGTAATATATATTTTTGGAGGAAGTCGACTAGTCGTTCATTCACTAATTATTCGTTGGTGCCCTGCACACTCCAAACGGCAACACCTCAGACCGTGTTATGCGCGAACAAGTTACAAGACCAGAACAAACGGATTTTGAGGCCACCAGGAAGACCACTGTAAGCATTTGAGGTAAACAAACAGCGGTACAACCACCATTACTATTCGATGAGACAGTATAGAATTGCATACCAACTCCAAGTATACGTAACTTCTAGTACCAAGGTATATATTCACCCCTTCGCGAGCACAATATTCGTTAGGCGAGAAATTCACATAGCTAGTCCGAGGCTTTGCGGCTATTCGCAGAACGAGCTGGTGCATCAGCTTGCATCTGGTTCCGCTCCTGCTCACGGAACCCGCTGAACTCCTGGGTAAGCCTCAACACTTCGTCCCAACGATCGTGCATCTCAAATTCTGAGTCCGATACATCTTCATCATCCTCTTCGATAGTATCTTCACTGGGCCACGTTGAACCAATGTATCGGACATTGGGAAAAATATCAGGCAAAAAACTCGCCACCGGGATGGGGTCGTCGACTGTCGATCTACCGATCTCAATTTCATCCAACTTCGCGGCAACTGATCCTTGTCTCGGGCGCTCTTCGAGGCTTTACGACTGCTTGTTGATGGTCGTGTCAAGGGCTAGGCCGACAAAGGCGAGATTTGGGCAATTCTGCACCAGAGGGACAAGTCCTCCTAATGTCACGGGGAGACTTGGTGTAGGACTATGGTTTACGCCCAGTTCTAGACGATAGAGTCTCGGCCATGACTCGGCCATCAAACGCACGAGGTCGCTGTCCAGCTCCATCGAGCAGCCGTCAATGTGGAGTGACCTTAAGTTGAGGCCGAGGAGAGGCGCGAATGTTTGTGCGGTGACCGCGTAGTTAGCATCATTTTCGCCAGATTGGGAAAAATTCAGCTTGAGCAGCTGAATGGCGGAACGTGAAGAATGAATAGCAAGTGACGCAAAAAACTCTTCTATCGTTTTGGCCAGTGTTTTATCTTCCACGTGGATGCGTATTTGCGAGACGCGAGATGACCGAACCCTTGAAATTGGATTTGTGCAGCTTGGGAGCTGGACTGTTGTCATATCAATTATTCGCAAGGAAGGGAACGTTCGCGAAGGGGTTTTATCGCTCAGCTTTTCGACGTCATCGCCCATGTGCTCAATATCGCCGTTTCGGAAATGGAGGGTTTGAAGATTGGGTAGGGCTGCAAGACAGAGCAACATCTGCGATGATAGCGTCCAAGTGTCGCAAATAAGATATGTGAGAGAGCGTAAACCTGAGAAAAGATCTATAAAAGCATCCGAAAGCAAGTGCTGACTCGGTGCTTTTAAAAAGGCTGAGCTGGTTCAGTCGCGGACATTTCCTCCTTAGAGCTGCCATAAGCTGTTTTGTTACCGCCATGTCGGTCACGCGCACGAAACCAAACTTGACGTTCTTCAACTTCGGACCAAAACATATTGGAGTAGCAGCGGCAATTTCATGACGGAATGGGTCACTGACGTGTAGATCCAGATGCTCTAAGTTAGGTAGCAGAGCTGCGGACGGGCGGTATCGGTCGAAGGCTTGCAATACGCTAGGATCGGGATAGTACCTGTAGACAGAGGTTGACCGTGTAGATCCGAGGGATTTGACGCCCGAAGCATAGCCAATAAAACGGGGAAAATCGGTCGGAATCAACGGCCGAACAAACAACTATAGCCAAGCAGTCTGTAAGAGCTTCTGTGACTTAAATGTGCCCACGACAGTCTCCTCAATTTTCCCGCTTCCTCTGCTGGATCAATGCTATTCTCAATTCTCCACAAATCTCTTGGCATTGTAAATATGAGAGGTCCTATAGTGGGAAGAGTACGCCAGAGGATGTTCATCGCTGGGTCGTAGAAAGCGCGACATGTCCGAGCTAGAACGGCGAGGGCATGTTTGTCATTCTTGGGGTAATCAAGAAGGCTTATGCATATGCAGAATCTCTGGGGGGGAAGTGCGTGACGTTGTCTGGCCCTGGATATAGAATGGCATGGATAATCCGATTTATGAAGGCAAAATTCGGTGTCTGGTTCAGTAATAATGAACGACAATACGGAATATACATGCGTAATGTGAAAAGATTGCTTACATTCGCGACCACGTTGACTGTTAGGTTGGAAGGGGTATGGAAGGTATGGAAGAGGGTGAGATTGGGGTGAGAGACCAAAACAGCCGAAGCCGGCGTGCTCAAATTCCAATCTCAGATCGTCGCGATCACATGAGCTTTCAAACGCGTCGCGATCGGACCGGTGCATTGGGAGCCACTGGCGGAGAAGTTGTGGCAATGTAGATAAAAACCCAAACCTACCTCAACATGTTTTACGAGAGAAACCGGACTGACCAGCGTTTCTCCAGAAACCCAATTTATCGAAATTGTCCTGCATCCAAGGCGTAAATAATGGCAAAGCTTGGGCTATTCAAGCGACTTATTGATCCGAGTCAGCAATATCCCGCATGCGCATGCCTTTGATTGCAGCAAGTGGCATCGGCTCCGGCTGCAGGAGAGAAAGGAGCGTGTCGATAACATGCATATAAGGACTGTCTTGGAAGTATGGGATCCGTTGGATCAGCCTCTCGTCGCTGTCATGATGGAACATATATATGCATGACCTTCGTCGCTCGCTGCGAACGGCATCGACATTGAGAAAGAGCAGAGAAGTAATATTGCGCTTCACAGCAGTGACTCGGAGAATTTGTCATGTAAATTTATCATGTAGCTGAGATAGGACGAACAGTCTTATTAGTCTTATCATCACCAAAAGTCCATCGACGCACAATTCAACTCTCGGAGTACAGCCGAAGGAGGTCCTGGCATATGTCGTCGCTCGCAGGCGAAAGGAATAGATGATAGAAAGCACTGTTAGCAGGCTGTTGGGCGATGTAAGCTGAGTGGCATGTATGTGCAGGTGATGAGAATCACCGCCCGTATTGCAATTGAACTCGATCAAGATCTTTATAAGATGTGCACGGGGGAAGCCGGTTTCATTTTCGATAAAACCCGGATTCTAGTCCATTGGCTCTCAAGGAGGGAATATTGACTCAATAACGACGCATTTTACGCTGAGGGCTTGGGTAATCGTGCGACTTAGTTATTCAATGATGTTGCATAAGAGTAGTCGACGCTGAAGGGAGTCATTGTATTCCATGGTTATCATGTGAAGTGCGTACTTCATAAATATGATACAAAACCGTGGGGGAGAGTGGAAGAGGGTTCGACTGGCAATTTCTGTCAGAAATGATTCGAACAACAGTCATGGATGTGCCCCTTACCAGACAAGATACTGGTGATCGCTGATTTCCTATCACAATCTCGATACCCTACGTCGAATCCGGGGTCTTTCCCTGAGCATTGTCGAGTACTGAGTTGCAATGGATCACTAACTCACCTCTGGCGAGCAGCCTACTGCCAAGAGAGTGACTCGGAGCCTTGTTCAAGAGCATCACGTGCGCTTCGATCGAAGCATGACATTGACCGAACTTTGAAACATTGGAAGAAATCAACTCTGAGAACGACTTGGTCTCGAGGACCAGAGACTCGCAGTCACAAAAACACTCGGCAATGCCCATGGCTAGCTGCCGCACGCTAGGACGATGTACTGCGAACTCTAGGTTTTCTTGCTTGTCTCGGTCCTTCGCTACTCACGCAGCTATACCCACTGAAAAAGAGTGTTCCTCAATAACTCCTCCATACTCACGTCTACTTGGAAACCTGTCTGATGTTCGGCATCTTCTAGGAAACAGACCTCTTACTCTCGCAGAGAAAATCCTCTACAGTCACATTGCAGATCCCGTGAAAAGTCTCGCAAATGGGCAGCTTAAGCGAGGGGAGACATACCTTCAGCTTTCACCTGAGAGGGTTGCTATGCAGGATGCATCAGCTCAGTGAGTAAATCAGACACATTCGTGTTTAGTCCCTGTTGATAGTTCCGCACCTGCTTTACATAGAATGGCGTTGTAAGCAACCTGTTATGGTATTCCAGACCTCCGACTGATGTATGACTACCAAGGTTGCAATTCATGAGCGCTGGGATGTCCAAGTGCGCGGTTCCCACCAGTATACACTGCGACCACCTGATACAGGCAGTAGATGGCGCAGAAGCCGATTTGAAGGTAGGGCATCGTTATCATTACTTGTGCTACGTATATTGGTTTATATACGAATTTTAAAAAGCGTTCCATCACCTCGAATCAAGAAGTGTTTGATTTTCTTGAGAGCGCTGCACGCAAGTATGGCATAGAATTCTGGAAACCAGGATCTGGCATCATTCACCAGATTGTCTTGGAGAATTATGCAGCACCTGGGATGCTCATGTAAGACGTAATTCATAATGACCTTTCGATGTAGCCTAATTACTCTTGCATTCCAGGCTTGGAACGGGTACATGATCGATTGACGTCCTTTTATGCCAATGAACTGATGTGTTTCTTCAAGATTCACATACTCCCAATGCTGGCGGTCTCGGAATGCTTGCTATTGGTGTCGGAGGAGCAGATGCCGTAGATGCCATGACAGGAACTCCTTGGGAACTCAAGGCACCTCACGTTGTCGGTACGTTTGAATGTTTTGTAGAATTTGAGCGTCGATGAACAACCCACCCCAGGTATTCATTTGACTGGTCAGCTGTCTGGATGGGCTACGCCAAAGGATCTAATCCTTCATGTTGCTGGAAAGCTTACTGTCAGGGTGAGTTGCTTTTTTTCAAGCCAGTACTCATGAACTTGAGGAGTGCTCTGCAGGGCGGGACCGGTCGGATTCTGGAATATTTCGGTCCTGGAGTTTTTAACCAGTCGTGCACAGGTGAGTTGTCTGTCTGATATCTAGCAGGTTTTGGGAATTCACTTGCCTTTTTTTTTTAGGATTGGCTACAGTTGCAAATATGGGTGCGGAGGTAGGGGCTACGACATCCACATTCCCCTATACGCCTAGTATGCGCAACTACCTTATCGCGACTGGGCGTGCTCCCGTAGCGCGCGCAGCCGACGAGGCAGCTTCCACAGGCTTCCTGGCTGCTGATGATGGTGCCGAATATGATGAGGTTATTGAGATTGTGAGTCATGCATTTTCACTTGGACTACAGTTCATAGATTTCCCTCAAAGAATTTGTCGGAACTGGAGCCAAGCATCAATGGACCATTTACTCCCGACCTTGCCACCCCACTGTCTAAATTCGGCTCCTTCATCAGAGAACAAGGATGGAAAGACGAGATATCGGCCGGACTTATTGGATCTTGCACCAACAGTTCATACGAGGACATGGTGACTATTTTGTTGACCAGCTCACATTATCGCGCTCACCAATTATCTCGATGTAGACTAGTGTCGCCAACCTTGCAAAGCAAGCCCAAGCCGCAGGTCTTAACGTTAAGGTGCCCTTTCTCTGCACTCCCGGATCAGAGCAGATTAGAGCAACTATGGAGCGGGACGATGTCACCAACACTTTGCAAGGCGTCGGTGCCGTTGTTCTGGCCAATGCATGTGGTCCATGTATTGGGCAGGTGCGTTGCTGGCTTAATCGTGGACAAAACCAACGTTGACAGTAGAACTAGTGGAAAAGGGAGGACAAGAAAGAGGAAGAAAATGGCAAGTTACATCTGGCATCACGTCCCGAAGTGCTTCTCATTCTATGTTTTAGCAATTTTGACATCTTTCAATCGGTGAGACGATCGTCAGTAGGACTCAAGTTGAACCTTACCTTCCGCACATCCAGCAATTTCAAGTCGCGTAATGATGGTAATCGACTGACGATGAACTTCCTCGCTTCTCCCACTATCGTTACTGCTATGGCATTTTCCGGAAAGCTATCATTCAACCCTATGACTGACGCAATTATGACCCCTTCTGGGAAACCATTCAAATTCTCGCCCCCTGTGGGCCAGGATTTGCCTTCTGCCGGCTTTACACCGGGGGAGACAGCTTTCTACCCTATGCCCATACCTGAGCCCCAGCCTGAAACAGAAGTGATTGTTCGAAGGGATTCGCAGCGATTGGAGCTCCTAGAGCCATTTCCTAGCCATTTTGGAGAGGATTGCGGAAACATGAGAGGATTAGAGTTGCCCACTTTAAAGGTGCTCATGAGAGTCCGGGGTAAATGTACGACTGACCACATATCTGCTGCGGTAGGTTTTAGATTCTAGGGTTGTTCATGATTTTTGGAGTGACAGCCTTCTTACAGGGCCCATGGCTCAAATACAAAGGGCATCTTACCAACATTTCCGAAAATCTTCGTACGTGTTGTTCACATCGTCGCAATTGGGTACATACTGATCATGAGCTTGTTTTATTAGTGATAACGGTTCGTACCTAACATGTTGATTATATCTGTCATTGAGTGACGCAAAACTTTCAGGCCACTAATGATGAAGGAGGCGATGTGAATGTCGCATTTGATCACGATCACACTGCCTTGGAAAGCGAGACGGACACTATCCCCGGTGTCGCTAAGCGGTTCAAAGCACGCAAGCAGCCCTGGGCATTGGTTGTCGACGACAATTATGGCGAAGGGAGTGCGAGGGAGCATGCCGCTCTCCAGCCTCGCTTCTACGGTCAGTTGGCGCAGGTTCAGTCTGAAATAGTGTGACCTGACCTAGTGTCTTCGTCAAGGTTGTGCCATGATTGTTGCGCGATCCTTCGCTCGCATACATGAAACCAACCTCAAAGTGAGTAGCTGTGGTTGATTTTCCTCGATACGTTTTGCTCAGATAAGTTACAGAAACAGGGCATTCTGCCGCTTTGGTTCGCTAATAAAGCAGATTATCCTCGCATCGGCGCTGGAGATTCCGTTGAGACCAGCGGACTCGCTGATCTACTCAAGGGCTTTCCGGATGCTGTTATCAAACTAAAGGTCACCCGGAGGAATGGGGAAGTATTCGAGATCCTAACCAAGCATACGATGTCGAGTGACCAGCTCAAATGGCTGCGCGCAGGATCTGCACTCAACCACATTCGCTCACAGATAGCTTCGAGCTAGACATTAAAGTGACATACTATTATGTTATCGACTACTGTTGTGATGCCAATGCTTTCCCAAGAGCCTGCAGCTCATGAGGATGCCTCGCGCCTCCCCTTTTCTCCTTCAGCCAAGATAGGGCACCTTTGGCGACTTCGACAGTAGAATTGGGCAAGCCCGCTAATTGGGCTGTCTTTAAACCGTGACTATCTCTGTTCACACCGGGCTTGAGACGGTGCGCATAAGTGAAATAGCCGTCCTGTCGAAAAACAGATGCAGGTCAATCCCACCTGAAATTCAAATGATGACATACCTCCGTTTCATCTACATCAGTGCAGAAGAATTTCACGTTCGAGAACGGGCCCTGGCCTTTATTATTGTCAGAGCATCCAAGCATATCGGCAAGTTCGTGGAAATGGGTAGCAAACAAAGCACGGCAGCGGTTGACCTTAATAAGATGGTGGACAGCGGCGAAGGCAATAGCCAGCCCATCATCAACCGTCGTCCCTCTGCCGACTTCGTCCATGATAACCTGGGTAGAACTCATAACTCAACTTATACTTGACGACAGGTAATTCTGCTTACTAGACTGTTAGGAGTTGCACGTCGGAGAATCTCACTTGTCTCCAGCATCTCCACCATGAACGTGCTACGGTCACGGAACAGATCATCTCTCGCCCCAATCCGCGAGAACACCCTGTCCACAAGTCCAATCTCAGCGCCATCCGCGGGGACAAATGAGCCACTCTGTGCCAGAATAGCAATTAAGGCCGTCTGACGCAGAAACGTCGACTTTCCTGCCATATTCGGGCCGGTGATGACGTGCAAGCGCGAATCAGGATCCATTTTGACGGTATTAGGAGTGAATACGCGCCCGGTGGCCAACAAGCCAAGCTCGACAGTAGGGTGTCTGCCATTTACTACATGATATACTGGACTGAGAAGAAAATTAAGTAGTCTGACCCCAGTGAAGATTTGATGCATACCTGTCGGTGATCACTGGGCGGACAAAGTGCATCTCCACGGCGAGGTTCGCAAATGCGACCGTCACGTCTAATTCGTCCATTATACGGGCATTGCGGCGCAAGTACCCTGAATGGGCACTGACCTGACATGCTTATGAGCAAAATACGCATACTGAGACTAATGAGAAATTGCCTCGTTGCGCAGAGTATCAAACGCTTCCCTTTCCGCTGCATATATCGCGGTTGTGGTATCAACGATTTCTGCGCCAAGCTGGGACCAATCCTAAAAATAGATGTGAAGGTTCATAGCAACAACGCCAACGAATACTCTACACACCTTATGTAGGTATACATTCGTCGAATTGTTCTGCGAGATAGGGACAAAGAGGGAGGATGCATTAAGCTTGGCCGAATCTCGTTTCCCCCTGGCGATGTGGATATGCATACCATAGCCCGGAGACGAGCGCAAAGTAAGGGACGGGGCATCTGCAAAGTTCAGTGAGCGATACAACTATGAATGACAGTGAACTTGGATACCATAGTCGAACTGCAGCTGCCTCTCGAGCTGCTCTCTACGAATCATCAGTTCAACCAACTTGGCATGCAGCGTGGTCAGCTTCTCTGAGAAGCTGCAAAATTTGATCAGTGGTATTCACAAAATCTGCAAGACAAACCAACCTAGGATGGATCGACCAGTTAGTTTCTCCAAAGCTAGGCTGCGTATTGATGGAGCGTGGAGAAAAGGGAGGCATTATACCAGGCATGTTATTGTCATGAGGATCCATCCCCTCTCCTGGAGCGGTTGAATTGGAGCCTCCGGAGACAGGAAGGGAACTTTCCAGCATACGTGATAGTTGACCTAGGTCGTGCATGTCATTTATCAATGCGTCAATACTACTCCACTCCACCTCCTTAGTACATCCATGATCTCGATCCTCCATCGTTTTCTCAAGCTCTATTCGGTTTTTTACTAGATTCCACGTGTTGATAGCAGAGCGGATAGCTGATAGATCACTCGGCTGGCCTCGCCCAAGCAAAAACTTTTGGATGATACGGGTAGCGTCCTCCAGATCAGCTAAGGCTTGTGCGATGTCTTCACGCAAATAAGTTCGAGTATGAAAGAAGGCTACCAGTGACTGGCGAGCATTTATTTCACTGAGGGAGGTGCTAGGGGAACCTGGAAAACCGCAAAGTTATTCAAACTTCCCTTGACAACATGTGCTCGAATTTACTCACATAGCCATCTAGAAAGAAGGCGTGTTCCGCTGCTTGTAACAGTTCGTTTCACAGCGCTCAATAAACTGCCTGACAAGCCGTCGTTGATACCCTCGCGGATTTCTAGCGCCTTAATAGTGTGAGCATCAATCTGCATTCGGCCACCCGTGGTTTCTCTGCTTGGCGAAGATAATTGGGGCATATGGTCAAGGAGGTTTGCCCGCAGAAATCCGGTGAGGAGTGTAATAGCACCGACTTCCAGAGTCGTTAAGGCCGTCCCAGCTGGACCTTGGTATTGGGTAAGATGAGACGTGACATCATCAGCTCCAGGACCATCTGCAGCAGTCAAGTCCAGAGCGAGAGGCGGAAGGTGATGTGCATGAGAGAAATAAGAAGCAAAACAATCTTCTTCTGTCATTATTTTCCGGACAGGATGTAACTCGTCTGACATGCTGTCCTCATCAATCACCACCTCGCGTGGTCCGATACGAACCAACTCATCCCGCAGACCGTCCAGTGAAATACTTTTGGTAAAGAACTCGCCAGTAGAGACATCTATCCAGGCCAGGCCAAGCTCGGCAGAGTGCGTACCCGTAGACTCTCCGACAGGCATTTTAGAATCAGCTATGGCGAGAAGGTAATTATTCTCGTATGCATTGAGGAAGGGCTCGTCAATGAGAGTCCCAGGAGTGACAACGCGTACAACGCGTCGGTCAAAACCATCCTTCGATCCTCCTTGTGGTAGCCGAGGAAACTCTTCGCATAACGCGATGAATCGTTTCTGATGTTGGACTAGAATCTTGAGGTATTTATCCAGATGCATGAGAGGGAAACCGCACATCCATATGCGCTGACCGTCCCAAGTTCGCTGCGTCAGCTTGATGTTCAGGAGACGGGACACCTCCTTTGCCTGGTCAAAATACGACTGTAACAAAGGCTCTCATAAACACCAAATTCTGACTGCGGTGACATGCGTACCTCATAGAACTGGCCCACGCGCGTGAGCAGTATACAATGCGGAAACTTACTCAAATTATCAAGAATTTCCGTTGCAAGACGATTCCTCGGTTGTTCTGGCTCAGGAGGGAGTTTGTCTGTCGCTAACTAACAACATCAGGATTGAACATCGTTTCTGGTATACAGATACACACCCACACCTTCCTGATCTGCGGACTTGCGCTTGCGAGCTCGTCGTTTTTCCAGAGACTTATGCATCGTCGCTGTGTTCTCTCGATTCTTAACCTGCGTGAAATCATCCGCTACGGCCTTGGGCTCCAGGCCTCCGCGCCATTCGCCGAGAGGTTCGGCAGCACATCCGTCGGCCTGCAGACACGCTTTGGGAAGATCCGGGTACTGCTTCTTCGTTATAGTGCGCTTTCGCGCCGTCTTAGGCGCGTCGTACACGTTGGCATTCGCGCAAAAAGGGCGTGATGTTTTGAGTCCTCGCGTTGGGAAAGCCGTAACACAGCGGTACGCGGAAGCATTTCGGATCGCTCCTAGAAGAGCGACCATAAGCTCGCGGTCTATAGGGGATTAGACGGTGCCGTACACCACTAGAGCCTGGAAGCGAATTGTATTGTAAGTAGGGGTTATGAGGGAGGAAGGAGACCCAGCGCGAGCGGTCACGGTGGCACGTCGTGCGACGCCACACTTTGCCGTTTCGAGAAGCGGAGTTTCAAGTTCCAAACTTCGCCTGTCGCCGTCGCCGACTCGACAACCAAAAGCAAGCTAAGCCAGACGTGTCATACCCCATCCACAACATGTCTTTCGCCGGCAGACGCAGAGGAAACAAGGTGAAGAAGGGTGTTCAGTTCACCGTTATGGTGGTCGGTCAGTGCTCGTCGCTATTTTTCCTGTTTTCTATGCCAACACTTCACGCGTCGTCTCCATTTACTGCGCCAAACGTGCAGGTGCCTCTGGTACTGGACGCACGACATTCGTGAACACCCTCTGCGAATCAGAGGTGCTTGCCCACAAGGTCTCTGACAGCCCGGATACTGCACATGTTGAGGAGGGTATCAGGATCAAGCCTGTCAATGTCGGTTCGTGCTTAGTTTTACCTATTGGCAGCGTAATGGGTTCCCATTAACAAATTTACAGAACTTGAAGAAGACGGTGTTCGGATTGCTCTCACCATCGTCGACACTCCAGGTTTTGGCGACAACATCGACAATGAATTCGCGTAAGAGTGATCGGAAATTTTCGGCACACAGAAGCCTCATTTGTCTATTTTTTTTTTTGATTTATAGCTTTCAGGAGATTGTAGGATATCTCGAACGCCAGTACGACGATATTTTAGCGGAAGAGTCTCGCATCAAGCGTAACCCTCGCTTCCGGGACAACCGTGTCCATGCCTTGCTGTACTTCATTCCTCCTACTGGGCATGCGTAAGTCCCTTTATCCATTCCAATGTTCACTTCGGGCCTCTCACCGAATTATAGCTTGAGGGAAATGGACATTGAGCTGATGCGCCGCCTCTCGCCGCGTGTCAACGTCATTCCCGTCATTGGCAAAGCTGATTCTCTGACCCCGAGCGAGTTGAGGGGATTTAAGAAGAGGGTGCGTGAATACGTCACTCACGTGTAAAGCTCATCTAGTTTGAGAACTGTACTGAATAAACCGCAGATTATGGAGGACATTGAATACTACGATATTCCCGTGTACAATTTCCCCTACGATATTGAGGAGGACGACGAAGACACCATTCAGGACAACAGTGAACTTCGGGTGGGTTATGTTACCGCGGATATCTGCTTCACTCGACTGAGATGTTTCCTAGGCGATGATGCCATTCTCAATTGTCGGGTCTGAGGAAGAAGTCGAAATCGACGGACAGCTCGTCCGTGCTAGGATATACCCCTGGGGTATTGTCGAGGTTGACAACCCAAAGCACTCAGATTTCAGTCGCCTGCGCGGGGCTCTTCTTAAGTGAGTATAACACGAAATGTCGCGTCGCGATGATGCTGATTCATGCCTGTAGCACGCACCTTGCTGACTTGAAGGCGTTAACACACGACGTTCTCTATGAGACTTATCGTACCGAGAAACTCTCTCGGACTGTGAACCCAGATGCTCAGTATGTATTTGATTTTGCCGGGAGATTACCAGGACTGACATGTTCTCTCTAAAGGGACTCTTCCATTCTTCCTGAAGAGCTCGCTACCCAGAGCGTGCGCCTTAAGGAGGAGCAACTGCGTCGGGAAGAAGAAAAGGCAAGTGACCTTTGCTGGAGTGTTATCAGAAACAAGTTAACGCTAGTTCTTGTTATCAGTTACGTGAGATCGAGCTGCGTGTACAGCGCGAGATCAATGAGAAGAGACAAGAGCTATTGGCGAAGGAAGAATCGCTCAGGTGAGCCACTCTGCGGGGGATCTTGGCATCGTGTATTGATGACATGATTCGCAGAAACTTGGAGAGCCGCCTCGCCGCTCAGGGCTCGCAGTCAGAATTCCGCGACTGATGCGAGGATGCTTAAAGAATGTCATGTTGCGCGGTTGTTATACCCATCGTCTGTGAGACCAGGACGATCTAATTCCTCACACGGCATTCTCTAGTGGGTTCGGTGTCCGGATAAAATCTTTGATGAGTCTCAGTCACCACCTCTTTTCCCTCCAGTCTGCTTCTTCCCGGTCCTTCTAGCGCTCGTTATTGACAGACACTTGCACTTTCTGGATAGTCTACGGCTTCGTTCGCTCGTTTAGTCTTATACCGCTGTTGAATTCTCCTGATATACTGTGTTGGTATGATATGATATGAAGAGCCCGCGCGTGCGGGTTTATTGACCAGAAAGCGAGTGATCTCCCGAGCACGAGAGTGCTTGCCGACTGAGATCGGTACGAGGGAAGATGATGCTCAAATATAGACGACCGGCCTGGTGGCGTTTCTGAGGGCGAAACAGGCAACTCGGCGCGAATGCGGGAGTCGCAGGCCGAGCGGAGGCAAGTCCGGGAGTGAGACTCGCGGCGCTGTGGCTGCAGTCGCCCGCCACCGGTTCAATCTCCGCTTGAGCCGCGCGCAGGCGGACGATGCTGAGAACTTCGACCGCCTCTGCCGCCTCTTTGATTCTTGCTCTCTCCCTCGTTGTCCTCGTCGTCTTCCTCCTCGTCCTCGTCGCCCTCGCCGCCCTGGGCGTCGCCCACTCCCTCTGGCATTGCGCCGTTTCGTCCGCAGCAGTCGAATCTGCGATCGTTTGCTCCTTGCCGGAACAGACGCCAGTGCCTCAACCACGCACTCGGGACCGTCTCAGTCTCGACTTATCTGGCCAGCCTGCTGTCTGCTTCTGCTCGCCTTCTCTCGCCCTTCGTGCCCTATTCTGCATCCCGCTCGCGAGCACGCCCGTCCCTCTTGCTCTCCAAATCAATACCTCCGGCGATTCTTCCGCTATCCCATAACGGGCCGCCGTATTGTTGAACAAGCGGTCAGCTTCCATCGCACAGAGTTGTTGAGTTCTCCATCCTGGCACTGACACACGCAGTCTCGCCCTCATCTACTTATTCTGCATGCTTGCGATGGAGCTTGACTGGCAGAGCCCACCCATCCCCGCTCTTCACAAGACGCGCGATTGGCAAGCACCCCATAATCCCGTAGGGTCTGCCGTGTCTCCTTCCACCTCTACTTTTGCTCCTCGCCGTCGTTCGACTGTCTTGCACGCCCCTCCTCCAGGCCCACCGCCGTCACAGCCCATTCCTAGTGTCCCATCTCTCCCCACGTCACACTATGAAGCGTATGACGGGTCTGTGGATACGTCCGAATATCAGAACGGTACGAGCTCTCCGAGCCAACAATATGCGCGACCAGCTGCCTCTGCGAGCCTCGCTGCTGTGGCAGCATTTTCACAAGCCCGCTTAGCTGTGGCGTCAAGTTCAGGCTCGTCGCCTCCACTCAGTACGTCCTCATCCTCCGACAATCTGTCCGACTCTCCCCCTCGGTCCATGCTTCGCTCTATTGCAACCAAACGGTCCCCGCCCCCCCATCATGCGGCGGCGGATCGCGGCCTATTGAGCCTACCAGACTCGCGCCTGTCAGAATCGCGGCCTTCATCTCGGCGTGCGTTAACCCGAGCACTGGAACTTGCCCGTGAGGCTGTTCGACTGGATTCGACAAATGATGACCCATACGCTGCCGTAGTTGCGTATGGGCAGAGCGTTGCTTTACTAAGTGAAGTGATGGAGAGGGTGATGAGAGGAGAGGATAGCACCGAGAGCCACAGAAGGCAGAACGGGAGGCGCCGCAGTGTTGTGGCGCAAGAAGAGGAAGTAAGACGACTGAAGTCAATTGTGAGTTGATTCACGTGGAAAGGAACAACATGCACTAATCATTTCCGTTCCCCGCCCCGCATTACGTGAACTTATCAGCATGATACCTACGCAGATCGTATGAATATCCTTAGTTTGATTTACAGTATACCACTGCCTCCGCATTCACCACCATCGACTTACGCCTCATCGGTCTCTCAATCTTCTGCGTCCACTAGACCTTCCTCGCCCTCATCTACTTCAATATCGACAGAATCATCCGGTTCACATCATATTCTACAGAGTTCATTCAATCGACGTAGTGAGGATGACGGGAGCCGAGATTCATCTGAGACTGCTAGGGGTGCAGCAGACGAAGTTAGTGCTGCAGAGGCCATAGGAACCGTACTGCCATCCACTATCCTCTCCCCATCTATTCGTACCACGAATGCTAGTTCTGGTACTTTTGTTCACCCATATGCCTCACCCAACGCTACGTCCAGCTCATCAAGTCTGCCTGTTCGTACGGCTGCGGCTGCTCCAGCTGCTTCGGTCCGACCATATAGGCCTCGTGCACCATCAACGCTACCCCCTCCTGCTCCCCCCCCAACGACTGTTCTGCCGCCTGCGCCAGGCTCTCCTGCCTTAGAGGTCTCACTCGATACTGCTGTATCAGGCCTGCTTAAAGCGCATGATACTGTACGATTACGAGGCAATTCTACAGGTCATTCACGGACCAATTCAGCGAGTCGTCTGGCAGCGCTGCAGGAAGAGAGACATGAGGATGCACTGAACCACGTTAATGAGGTGGTCCCGGTTGCTAATGTCTACGATGAATCCAGCCGTCCAAGATCTCGAAACGCTGCCCACCCATCAGACATTATGCGTGATCTTCATCCACTGCCACCCCTTCCGATACCTTCTCCCGTGACAGCAGCCACTCCCCGTGTGGCCACGTCTGGAGCGACCGCAGCGTCTGAACCACCGTCACCCCATATCGCGACCCAGTCTTGGACTCCAAGACCAAGGAATGGGTCAAGCCTCTCCGTACAGTCCGAAGCAGCGACCCCGACAAACAGACCTCACCTGATCAACACGTCCCCTATTATGGGGACTATATCACAACGGCGGGTCAAGACGTCTGCTCCTCCCTCCACTAGTGATACCTCGCCTACCGAATCTACCACATCTGCTGCATCTGTCCCCAACATGGGCAGGCTGGCCG